CTGGGTGACAGAGTGAGACTCCAACTCAAAAAAAAAAAAAAAAAGAAATAAAAATAAATGAGTCACCACTTCTTAACATAAGCCACATCATGGAAACTTAAATACATATTACTAAGTAAAAGAAGCCAATCTGAAAAGGCTGCGTACTAGATGATTCCAACTATATGACATTCTGAAAGAGGCAAAACTGTAGGGATAGTAAAAAGATTAGTGGATGCCAGGAGTTAAAGGGAGAGAAGGATGAAGAGGCAGAGCACCAATAATTTTTAGGGCAGTGAAAATGCTCTGTATGATACTATAATGGTAAATACATGTTATTGTACATTTTTTCCAAACACACAGAATGTATACCATCAATAGTGAATCTTAATTCAAACTATTGACTGGATGATGATGATGATGATGTATCAATGTAGGCTCATCAATTATAACAAATGAAGCACTCTGGCAGGAAATGCTGATAATGGGGAGCTTATATATATGTGAGGATAGAGAGTATATAGGATTTCTCTGTTACTTCTTTAATTTTGTTGTAAAGATAAAAGTTTATTTTCTAAAAAATAAAGTTTATTCATAAAAAGAATGAACTAGGAAGTTTCTATCTCCAGAATAGCTAAGTACCTATTAAACTGACTTTACTGAAGCTGTAACCTACTCATATATAGTAGGTATCTAATAACCTACTTACATATAGTAGATATTTAATACTGAATTGAACTGTATATAATAAATGACCCTATTTTCAAATTAGCAGGCCTCATGCTATTCAACAGATTCAAGACTTAAAAGTTAAATTATACCAGGTGTGGTGGCTCATGCCTGTAATCCCAGTACTTTGGGGGGCCAAGGCAGACTGGCTGCTTGAGTTGAGAAGTTCAAGACCAGCCTGGGCAACATAGTGAAACCTTGTCTCTACAGAAAACAAAAAAATTAGCCAAGTGGGGTGGCACGGGCCTGCAGTACCAGGTTACTTGGATGCTGAGGTGGAAGGACTGTCTGAGCCCAGGAGGTTAAGGCTGCCATGAGCCATGATCATCGTGATCATGCCACTGCACTCCAGCCTGGGTGACAGAATGAGACCCTGACTCCAGAAAAAAAGTTAAGTTAAAGGGTCTTACAACATCCTGTGGGTGCAAATTTAAGGATATATAAGATTTGAGGACACAGTCTAAGGTCAAGTTTGATCTGTGTAGAACAATCAATGTTGCCTTTTTCAACAGCTAGATAAGTACAGTCTATAGCCGTAGATTAGTCTTTTATGTTAAATTTGCCCCGTGGATTTTCTATAGCGATTCGCTGAGAGACGATGAAACTGAAGCTACTATGTATGAAGCATGTTCCACATGTTATCTCAAAGCTAAAGTCCACAAACCCATACAGGCTGAAAAGGCCAGGTAGTGCTCTCAATTAGAGGTACATAAGTAGGGAAGATTTAGTTCTAAACTCTGCCAGAAATCTAAATAGGGAGATAATCATCTCAGAGAAGGGCAGTCAGAAGTAATTACTGCCCAGTACTCATATTACAGTTATGAAACTATATACAAGATCTAGACATGCTAAACTTACTTCTATATGATGAAAACATCAGGTCAGATGTGTGCCAAGTTTTTAAAAAGTTTCAGGGTAAGATGTGCTATTTGAGCTAATCCAGCTAATCCAAGTCAATTTTTTACAGGAAAGTACCTAAGAACAAGGAGAGTTTTGCTTTAAAGGTCAAGCATGTCTTCAATTCCCTGGTATTCCTGTATGCTTAGTGATGTCTTCTATTGTGACAGCTAGTGTTTAAAAGGTTTCAGGATTCTTGGAAAAGGCCCATGAGCACACTAAATAGCTGATCTCTAGGCTGAGAGAATCTGAGCCCAATATGGTGAGACTCTTCTCTCAGGGATAAAGTTCTATTTAGAATCACCAGACTCTTGGGGCCCTCAAACAACTAATCCATATGCACCCTCACCCTCACCTTCTTTCTCCAAAGAACTGTGAGCAAAGAGACAAATCCAAGGAGAACAGACTTATCTTATTCACTTGAAGCTGACCTGTTCATAGCTTTGATACCCCCATTTAATGCCCAAATATAGACAAGGTCTGAACTTAGGATAACAGTAACCGAGGCTTATTATACCCAGGCAGCAAGCTCTGAATGACTTCCGATAGCCCCAAGCCTGTTCCATTACCACTAACTCTAGGTTTGGAACTTACATTGCAAATAGTGCAAGCAATGAACAGCATAAGATTCAGCAAAACTGAGTCCCCTGGTCTGGCTTCCCTGAGAATACATTAAACACATGACTTACTCAAATGAGGTCTTTCTTCTGCCCCTCCCCTGGAAGGTAGAGTATGCTAGAGTCAATGTAAGCTCCATAACTTTTATATATTCTTCATCCAGAGGCAAGTATATCAGTCCTTATACTGTCTAGAGGAGGCCATATTCCAGATGGAGCAGAGCCTGAATGCACAAAATCAGTTGCTTCACTTCCAATATGTGAAATTAATGTCAGTATGAAATAAATAATCTTCTTGCCTGTGTTATCTCCTAGTCTAACAGGGGAAAGGTTAACAGGAGCACCAGGAGACAGAAAATCTTCTCTGTGAGCCCTGATCCCAGGTCATGGCAGGAGAAAATGTTAATGGACCCCTTATTGAAGGGTGCAGGAAGCGACCAGAGGGGCAGCTCCCAAAATGGCACCGACACAGCAGACAACAAAGGTCCTAGGTCCCGGCTTCTGTGAGCACAATTCCCTGCGCACGGGAATTTTAAACCTTCCCGCGAGCAAATTTCAAACCCACAAGCCTCCAATCTGTAGCCAGCTTTGTTATGCGTCCAATAGGACTATAGCACGGCGTTGGCCCCACCCTGCTCCCATACAGCTCCTCCAATAGGAACATAGCACGGCCCCTTTCTCTTTCTCTCTCTCTCTCTCTCTCTCTCTCTCTCTCTCTCTCTCTCTCTGTTGCTCTCTCCCTCTCTGCAGCTCTCTCCCCTCCTCTCTCCCACTTTCTCTCTCTCTTACTCTCTCTTCCTCTTTTTCCCCGTTACAGATCCCCTCTGTAACAGCCCCCTTTAAATAAATCTCTTGGTCCTGGCCGGGTGTGGAGTCATTACTGGCGCTGAACTTCTTTCACTTATCATGTGGCCAAAGATGAATGGAGCCATACATGCTAGCACTGGAACAGAGGTCATGGACCCAGGATACATACCTGGCCCCTAAATACGTACAAGACTCAAAAGAATGTTGGGAGAACAAGGTAATGCTCAAAGCCAAAAGCAGACCAAACTCCTTCTCTTGCAGAAAGAAAGCCCATGAGCTCTGTATGCCTTAGTCAGCTAAGTGAAGTAACAATGTACTGAACTGCACAAAGTGAGAAGTAGGAAAGAAATTCGGCACCTGTGCCTACTCTTTCATTCAACCTTTCTTAATCTTCAAGCACTTACCTGTGTGGCCATGGAGTGGTGAGTGTGGCCGTGGTAGTGTAGGTGATGTGCTAGAGGTCACAATCAAGCTCTTGCGGTTACTTGTCCGACAACTGCAATGAAAACAAAATGTTAGTTATAACAGGGTCACATCATGGCTACTGAGGAACAAAAGAATGATGGCATTCTGCAAGCTAAACAGTATTCTGTTTTAAGCTGAACTGAGTTAGCAATCACAGTCAGAACCAGTTAGATTCAGTATTTCACTGTTTTGCATCCTGGCATAACTTTTGTCACTGCCTTGACTTTCATCTTGTATTGTAATTGCCCTTTTCCAATGTTTAGTTTTGTTCCCAAACACAAGGCACTCTCTAAAGGGCCACAACCGCCTTGACTTTCATCTTGTATTGTAATTGCACTTTTCCAATGTTTAGTTTTGTTCCCAAACACAAGGCACTCTCTAAAGGGCCACAACCATATTTTAAATGGAATCTAATGAATGACCACTGCAAATTTGATTTTAAAATAAAAAACACAAGTCAAAATATTCTCATATCTCATAAAGATTAATGATCTTGCCATAAAAATGAAACTATCAGCTGGGCATGGTGGCACATGCTTGTACTGTAGTCTCAGCTGTTCAGGAGGTTAAGGTAGGAAGATTGCTTGAGGTCATGAGTTTGAGGATGCAGTGAACTATGATCACATCTGTGAATAGCCACTGCACTTCAGCCTGAACAATATAGTGAGATCCTGTCTCTAAGAAAACCCTCCAAAAAACTATTAGTCTATGAAATTATTATTATTATTATTAATTAATTTATTTATTTTTTGAGTTGGAGTCTCACTCTGTTGCCCAGGTTGGAGCGCAGTGGCACGGTCACAGCCACACAGTCTCGACCTGCTGGGCTCAGGTGATTCTTCCGCCTCAGCCTTCCAAGTAGGTGGAACCACAGGCATGTACTACCACACCCAGCCTATTTTTTAATTTACTGTAGAGAAGAGGCCTCACCAAGTTGCTTAGGCTGGTCTCAAACTCCTGAGCTCAGGCAATCTTCTCATCTCGGCCTCCCAGAGTGCTGGGATTATAGGCTTGAGCTATTGCACCTGGTGAAATTATTATTTTTAGAACAGCTTAATCAATGAATTAAGTAATATTCTCATTTCAATATGCTCAGTAAATATCAGAATAGGCCTGGGATTCTTCTATAAAACTGGCTTTCTATTATATGTTAATGCCTGAGGCTTTTTTTTTTTTTGCGGTAAGAGAAAACCAGATTGTGATGAAATCATTTCATGCAACATCCGTTTCTGAAAAGTTTGTATAAATTTATTTGAAAGTCAGCCTATCTTTTAAAGGTATTAAGGAAGTTTGTCATTTATATTCCTCCAAACAAACATTTAATTGGAAAGCAGCAGCTCTAGTCCTCGGATGTTGTACTGGCCGCCGCCATGAGCTACACGGGTAGGCCTGGCCGGCTAGGGGTCGGACTCCGGGTGGGGGTCGGGGCAGGGGCGTACCGGTACCCCGTGGGGCTCGCCCGCACCTCCTTCACTGCTCTTTCTGCGGTCACAAAATGGCGCCGCAGGCTCGTCGCCTCAGGGTCGCTCCCCTCACGCCTCCGTGCCTTAGTTCTTTGTGTTTGCTGTCTGACGTCCAGGCGCCCGGCTGCCTGGGGTCTTGGCCTCTGTAGCCAGTGTCCGTGGTCCCCGAGCCTCCGCGCCTGAGGTCCCTGCTCCCCCCACCTCGGTCCCTGGCCTGTACTCCTTTGCCCTCAACGCCTCAGGTCACCCTCTCAGGCCTCGACCCTTCAGAGCAGTCAGCAGGCTAAACTGCCGTCGCCATTGTTGCGCCCTCCCCGGAGCAGTTTCTCTGCAAAACGCCGCAGCTACACCTCCTCTCCCATCCCACTCACTCACCCACCCTCTTTTGCCTGTCCCAGAGTTGGGAGAGGCGCCAGGTCCTAGGAGGATAAGTAAATATTTGAAGGATTTGGGTTGTGCAGGGAACCTCAGGCTTTGGCAAGAAATAGCCAGCTCCCATGTTAATTCAATCAACATCTGTCAAATTTACCGTGTGAGGTGCTGAGTGGGCACTGGGAATACTGACAAGAATTCCTCAAGCAGCTTTTAGGAGAGAACAGATCTTCGTAGGCAAGTAAAATATATCGGATGTATTTTGGGGTGGTCAGTACTCTGAAAAGATTGTTCTGTTGCATAGTGTGGTTGGACATGTTTGTAAAGAGGTGACATTTGAGCAGAGGACTAAATGGAGAGAGTTTAGACAGCTGGTCCGGGAGCTGTTGCTGTAAAATGTCCAGTGGTGGCCAGACATGGTGGCTAAAACTTGTAATCCCAGCACTTTGGGAGGCTGAGGTGAGGGGATTGCTTGAACCCACAGGTTTGAGAGCATCCGGGGCAACCTGGCGAGACCTCATCTCTACAATAAATCAGCAACAACAATAAAAATTAGCCGGGCATATGGCGTGTGCCTGTGGTCCCAGCTACTTGGAAGGCTAGGCTGAGACGGAAGGATCACCTGAGCCCAGGAGGGCGATGCTGGGGTGGCCATGAGCGTGACACTGCACTCCAGTCTGGGTGACAGAGTGAGACTCCACCTCAAAAAAAAAAAAAAAAGTCCAGTGGCAGGAACTGCCTTGCCTGGCTTGTTAGGTCAGTCAGGGAGGCTAGTCATATTTGAGTAAAAAGGAGAGTGGGTGGTAAGATCTGAAGGGACCACTCAGTACACACTGGGGAATACACACTGGGGAATACACACTGGGGATACGCTTGGGTGGTTGTAAATTATCCCTGGGTGAATTGCCAAGACCTCCTGGGTTTGCCTTGGCAGTAAAACAAAAACAAAAACAAATATTTAATTGAACACCTATGCAGTGTTCTAGATACCAGGGAAGCAACAGAGAACAAGAGCATGTTTCCTCTGTCCTTATCACTATAATAAACAGTGCTACAGGGAAAAAAACAAATGGGTGGGGTGGGAAGGGAGAGAAAGGGAAAAAATAGACTGGCAGGGAAGTGCTGACTAAGGAGGTGACATCTGATCTAAAAGCTGAATGATATGAAGGACCTAGAAATAACTGAGAGACAGAGAAAAGGAAAGGAAAGGCACTGAGATAAGAACAAATTCAGTATGTTCAAGGAAAGAAGTCAAGAGTGGATGGCAGGAGGGGAGACTGATAGAAAAAGAAGTAGGTTACATAAGCTATGGAGTAGGCCATAGCCAGGCTCTGTAGGGCTGGTACATCATCACAAGAAACTATTGGAAATGTGGTAAGAAACTCCCAGAAGGACTGAGATCAGTCTCAAGAAAGAGATTATAATAAGAAATTATAAACACCTTCCCCTAAGAAACCATCAGGAAGAATTCAGTCATGCTTATACCTCAGTCACCATCAAATGCCCCAAGTCTCCCATATCCTAACTACACAATCTCCTATTACCCCTGCACCTTCCAGAAAAGCTTACACAGTGCCTCCTTAACTTAGTCTGCCATCAGCAAAATGGTCTATATTCTCAATTTTTTTTTTCTTTAAATTCACTTTAAATTCTAGCTCTAAGTGAAGTCTTGCTACTTCCCAAGAACACCAGAGGCCTGGTGAAATCCCAATCCTTTTAAATGTGACTTTCCATTTATTTTGCAACTGCACCTGGGAACTCAATGACTAAAACAAGCAAACAAAAAAACAGAATCATGGTGCCTGTTGTTTCTTTATACTTATAGTGAGAAACATCAAGTATATCCTCATTGCCTCCTTCTACATTTATCTGCCAACTTTGCTTTTTATTTAATTGCGGGGAAAACAACACAAAGGGAAGTACTTCATATTCCCACTACAAAAGTCTATATCCCTATACTCTACTTTCCTACTTTCCAAGAAAGTAGAAATGGGTCATTCCCATCATCATAAATATATGCTGCCATTTAAAAAAATATATATTTCTTTCATCTTGGAAAAAAAACCCAAAAAACCTTTCACAGACAATCCCCTGTATACTTGCTCATTTCTTTGTTCCCCTATTTAGGAAAAATCTCATGCAAGGTTTCTGTACTTGTCATCTTCACCTTCTCATTTTCTATTCTCTCTTCAGTCCACTGTAGACACAAATCCCCATCTTGCCACTGAAACCACTGTTATCAAGGTCACAAATGACAACAATCAATGCTCAGTCCTTGTATTATATGATCTCTCAACACCATTTGCCGCTGTAATTCCTCCTTTTAAAAATTGGAATATGGCCTGGTTCGGTGGCTCAGCCTGTAATCCCAGCACTTTGGGAGGCCGAGGCAAGTGGACTGCCTGAGCCCGTGGGTTTGAGACCTGCCCGGGCAACTTGGTGAGACCTTGTCTCTACGATAAATCAAAAATTAGCCGGGCATGGTAGCACGCACCTGTAGTTCCAGCTACTTGAAAGGCTGAGCTGGAAGGATCACTGGAGCCCAGTAGGTTGATGCTGGGGTGGCCGTGAGCATGCCACTGCACTCCAGCCTGGGTGACAGAGTGAGACTCCAACTCAAAAAAAAATTGGAATATAATTTACATGCAATAAAATACACTGATCTTAAATATTCAGGTCAATGAGCCTTGACAATTGTATGCTTCCATATAAAAACATTCTAGACAACACACAGACTATTTCTATTATCCCCAAAAGTTCCTTGGTACTCCCCCTCTACTTCCAGTCAACTCCCTGTTCCTAACCACTTTTTTCTATAATCATATATTATTTGTTGTTGAATTTCATATAAATGGAATTACACACTATGTGGCTTCTTTTCTTCAACCTAATATCTGTGTAACTCTTCTTGAGATGTTTCTTCACTTAGTTTCTAGGTCATAATGCTTTCCTTCTATCTCACTAGTTGCTCATTTTTCATTTTCCTTTTTTGTATTCTTTTCTTCCCAATCTCTAAATGATTTGGTGCTATAAGCTTCAGATCTGAAACATCTTTTCTTCTCTACCTACACTCACTCCCTACCTACTCTCATAGTTTTAAATACCTTCTAGATGTTGATGATGCTCAGCTCTTTATTACCAGCTCTGTGCTCTCTCCCTTGAGTGTAAGATTCATATCCAAATGCCCACTTAACAT